AGCCTCGGATCCCGATGCGAATTCGGTTAATCGACGTATTGATCTGGCGCTGGCCTACCGAGTACTGAGCAGCCACTTATGGAATGGGGACTTGCACGGCTGTCTAAGCAGAACACTGGAATAGGAACACCTCCTTCACTTAAAATACGCCATCTTATGATACATTTCACGAATAGTAAGCATTCCCGTGTCTTAATCCTAACATAAAACAAAACTGTAACCGTAATCTCAACCCTGGCCAAACACTAAACCCTAAAGGTAACACGTATCCAAAACTTAACCCTTTACATGCCCCTAACCCCAATCTTCAATCTAACTCCAAACTTAACTCCAATCCTCACCTTCACTCTGAACCCAAGAGCGACAATTTTTTTCTCTTAAACAATCCCAAGGAGGTTTCTTCACGGTCTACTCTTTTTTCATTTTTTGTTCCACCCTACGGGCTCAAGTCATTTGATCTCGCCAATAAGCTGAGATACGATTTCTAATATAACAACAAGCATTTACAAATGGGAAGTTCAAAGGCACACACACAGTTATATTTCCCTCAAATATACTGATACTGATCTCCCCAGAATTTGGCTGAACGCTACATGTATTGCAGTCGGTTCCTGTTCTTGTGTCTTGTTTAGGTAGGCGGCCATAAGAGATATCCTTACTGGCGTTTCTGATGTTTACTTGGCCTCTACCTTCTTCCACGGTTGCTTGATTTGCTGCCAATTTTAACTATGCGAATGTACTCATACACGAGTTCGAAAGGGAGATGAATAGGCAAATGGTTGAGGTGAGGCGAAAATTAGTGAAATTTCTGCCTATCGGCGTCTCAAAGACATCCAAGACTCTTATAGCACACTCAAAACGTAGACCGTTCTCCAATGATTCCACAACACACATGCGATCGAATAGCCTTCTCGGATGCGAAACTTCGCGTCAGTTAGTGAAATTTTTGCCTAGCAGCATCTCAAAGGAATCCGGGACTCCGATAGCGCATTCGGCGATTCTACAACACATGCAGATATGCAATATCTGAATGTGGTCTCTAAACTTAGCCTTGCTATCTTTGTATGAGTGATGAGCGATCCTTTGGGTAGGCATGTCTGTTTTTCTTTAATCATGTACTTCAGAAATAATTGATCATTCACCCTCCAACCCAGTTGAATTGGCTTGTTGGCCTTGTTGGGTTTCCAAGTTAAGGTGTCTCAATTACTCTCGATATCCCCCTTACGGTCCACTGAAATAATCTCACGGAACCTAAGTTTGATCTTGAATCGTCTTGCAGTATGTACTAACAAATATGCCCATTAGAAACTCAGGGCAATAATGCAACGGAAGTTCAGAAGAACCTTGACAAAGATCAGGAAACTTGGGATGACCATTTCTGCCTTATTAGTAGTCGTCAATCAGTCAAGCTTATCCAACCCCAGGGTTTGGGGGCACCCGGGCTTCGAACCTACGTTCTAATGGTTACCCAGCGCTACTGAGTTCAATACTCTAACCCACTGAGCCACGGAATCGTTACCCTGTCGGTTGGTATCGGGATAATATATATCTTATATTATCGCGTTCAGCATCTCCTAAAGATAAAGAAAAAGAAGAGGGGACGGTTCACAAACCAACTTATATTTGAGCTGGCGTTTCGGACCCCTTCTCGCTTCCATCGTCAGAGTATTGTGGTGGCTGCGTCTGGTGATCTTGGGTTAGCCAGCCTTGCCGTCTGCCTCGTATTATATCGGTGCTGGACGTGCGAACTTTGACCTGCCCGTTCGTTGCCGGCCACACTTGGTCTCCCGGAGGTTGGCTGCTGGCGGACTTGTGTGACCTTCGTCCCCTCTGCGGTCTGCGTAGTTGTAGGCGGGTCAGATTGCTTGCTGGCCTACCCCCCGTGTCAACTGGCGGACTGATCACTCTTTGCTTTTCACTTGAGTTGTTCTTTGCCTCGCGGATGCGTCGGTGAGACAGTGTTTGGTGTTGGCCGTGTGACCTCCGACCTCGACCCTTATTTTCCGGGAGCGTAGGCTATCGGTTCTGCGTACTCGTTTGCCCTACTGGCCCTGGCCGACTTATTCCGAGC